ACACACACACACACACACACACACACACACACACACACACACACACATACATACACACACACGCACGCACACCGGGGTCGTCACAATGTGTGTTTTTGCATGTTATGCAAAAACGCATAAAAACGGAAACTCGCAAATCGGACATGGTGCTCGCTTTGTTCACACGTAGTTGTTTCCGAACTACATGGACGGCTTCGTACGGTTGGCCCAGACGATCTTAATGATAAGTTATCGAGGAATGCTGGATATTTTAGCTTTTTTTTTTGTAAGATATGCTCGCAGCGGGATTCTAGGAGCATAACTTGAAAAGTGGGAATTTAGTCAGGCTTATGTTTGGCTAGTACGGATGATTCGCTGAGCAGGTGTGCCAGCGTTTCAGTGGGAACAACTAGAATAAATTTCTCAGATTTTTTTCTACTTTTTTAGTGCAATATCCTTCTTCCATTACTAATCTTTTGAAACTTTCCTACCTTCTATTCCCTGTGCTGTCGTTCTGAAAAGTCACGTGTTTATGTCAATGAAATGACTCTTTTGTTCCATTGCTTCTTCATACGATGGAGCAAGACAAAGAAGTGAGGTCAACGTGAATGGAGGTCAGAATGAGTCTTCGCTGCTAATGCAGTATGGCCATGAGAATTACTCAGCATCATGAAAGTTACGTGTTACTTCACGTGCAAAGAGAAAATGCAGATGGTTTTCACTGACATTAGTTTGCGTTATAGATAACGTACTGGACGCAAATCAACAGAAGCAGCAACGTGTTTCACGTACCATTGAGCGCATTTTACACCTCAAGTTTGTCAAAAATCGTGAAGTGATGGATGAATCATCAACATCCACTTCCACACCGACCACGCCATCTCCGCCGGACGTGGAAAAGTCAAAAATCAAGCGAAGCGCCAGTGATGTGAACAGTGATTTTCAGAACGATCTCGAGTTCGTTTTTTATTTGCAAATTAGCTAATTTACTATTAGCTAAAATCTTTTTTTTTTTTTGTGGAAATGCTGTTGGAAAGTTTCTGTGTGACATAGTCGGGTCACTGTTCTTAAAGAAGAAATAGAAAAGTACATCTTTACTACTTCATATGGTGAATTTCTGATAAGAAGAAACAAGGTGCCCGTAGGCGAAAGAAATCAGCCTGGAAAAAGTTGACAGCTGCTGAAAAAAAAAACCCATATAGTCTGAAACGCGAGTTAGATGGCTGCCAACAGTGCTCCTACAGGAGGTGTCACCCGCTCATACGCGAGATCTGGACTTATGTGTAAGACTAATTTCAAATGTTTCCGTCACGCATTACCATACATCTAGCCATCGAAATCGCTTTTTCCTCAAAAATGGTTTAACATGCTAGTATAAGTAAAACAAGTACACACGATACTTATTTCACGTGTGCGGACTTAAACACGCACCAAAACTTTTGCAAAATTAGAGGAGCCTAGTCAGCCTAGTGCTTGGGTTGCCATTTTGCCAGCTATTGCGATGTACCCATACTCATGATGTATGCGTGCGTACGAACTGATTTTAACACCTTTAGCTTACATAAGAACGCAGAATGTCCCAGCGAAGGTTCAGCTTCCTAATTTGCCTGGTTACCAGAATCAGTTCCTTGCCAAAAAAAAATTGCATTCGTCTTTTAAGGAGTGAAATTGAGACCCAGGTGTTGGACAGTCTGCTAAAATCTGGGAATAGCGTCTGCAGTTCAAATGGATCTGTTACTTAGTTAATGAATGTACTGTATTACTAATGACAGAAGTAAGTAGGAGTGGCGAAGGAGTAATACGCTTGGAAGGAACTTGCAATGGATTTTAATTTTCTCTGGAAGAAATGCGATGTTCAGGTTGAAAAGAGTTAAGCTTTAATTTTTCAGTCCTCCGACAAAAGTCTTGAAAGGTGAAGCGGATGACGCATCAACGATAGACAATGACATGCAGAGCAGGTATGGCACAGCTATACTCTGGATTCGGTTTCATAAAAAAGATAAAATGCCGAAAAAAGGACTATCAGTAAACTGTCCCTCTTACCAACAATCACTTTTCACCCTGTGTTAAATAAACTCAGGCTGCAATGCCCCGGGCTTGCCTGGTGCGATCATGCATTTTTGCGCCAAACTTGTAGATCGCTAAGTGCAGGAATGACTTCTGCGCTCTAGTTTAACAATTTGGACTCATATTGGCAGTGTTTTGACCTCATCCTGTGTGCAAGGGGAAAGGGTATTGGCTGCGATGAAGCTGTTGCACAGACTTCCAACATGCGTGGTTATCAGTTTTTTGCATGAAGCGTGGTCGTCTTTCCGGTGAATGCTCATTCTTTGGAAAAATGCAAATTCGAGGGAAGTCGAAAGAGG